GCGCTGCCGCGTTTTTGCCACCTTTAGCCCAACAATGTGAAGGCCCATCAACGTATAGTATACAAAGAGATTGGTTGATGTAAGTGCCCACATAGGGTTTAGAAGATATAAAAACAATTAGAAGAAGCCGAAGGCTCAGACAGTTAAGAAATAATACAATGATTATATATATAGATCAATGGTCAAATGACACCACAAGGATGAATAACCCGCCCTTCTACTATGAATCTAACCGAAGATTAGCATTCGCCTGCTGCGCCATGCAGCCAAGTGAATTTTCGTTCAGAATGGACAACTATTACGACATTTCCCGAATCTAAGCATCAGCCCAAATAGGAACTAAATCCAGAATGCTCAGCTACCGAGGCAAGCATATTTTCCCCTTCACCACACATTCCGATTGTAATTTAGTTACATAACATGAGAATCTAATTCTAATAATAAAAAATGGCATCGAGCAATCGGTGTTTAATTAACTAATATTTGATTCCTCCACAATAGTGAGGGGGAAACTTGATCAAAGACATAGGCACCTACCTTCAAAGCCACACCTCGGGAGTTATGCTCTAGTTGGGATCGATGAATAAACAAAGGCGAGGTCAAAACTATAATGCTTCTTGAAGGAGAATACACTGTGAGATATAGTGTGCAGTAAAAGTATGTGGAAACAGCGAATGTTCTCATTACTTCTCTGTGGGTGGACAAATAATCAGAATTTAAAACATCAAGCTACCAATAGAGGAATATGCCCTCAATATAAAAATGGGATGCTTTGATAATTCTGAGTTATTTTAAGAAAAATGGGACAAGTTAGCCCATGGGTGATATCCTGCTCGCGGACGAAATTCTAGGGAAAAGTGTTACACAAAGAGGTAGTTGCCTCGCTGTAAAAGAGAAAGGAAACGCTGGGAGTATGAATTAGCTATAATAGAACGTGGACACGTTAAAAAACTCAGCCTTCCTGTCAACTCGTAATCACAAAGACTTAAGGGGCTTATTTCCTTCATCAAAAGGAGTAGATATCTAAATGCCGACTATTTTAAGAAATGAACATTAGTCAAGATGACAGGATCATTTTATCTTATCACAAATAAACCTCAAAAGTAATAAGCATTGGTATAAATGGATAGATAAGCTGGGGGGAGTAAATATATTCACCTGAAGCTCATAAGCCATATCCGAAATGGCCTTCTTCTCTTGCACCTCAGAATCAAAAACTGCTTTCTTCAACTCATAATCACGTTGCGCTTGTGCGATTTGCACGTCATTCGACAACTTTCCCGCCACACGTTGCTGCTCAGCAATGGCTTCGCGCATCCCAGCGTCCCGACGGGCTTCGCCCTCACCTATCCGTGCATCTTTTTTAACTTGAGCAGTTCGAGCCAACCCCAAGGAATGCAGATAACCCTAGTTATGAATAGGGAACGCAAGTTATCAATAAATATAACTACCAAGCTATGTAGACATAGCTAATAATTAGTCGTAAGTGCAAGGAATTCAAGTTTAAAGATAAAATTATTCCATGAACATTTTTTTGTAAGAAGTGTACACATCATGTGGAGGGATTATTGGTTTTCACGTTAAAATAATATCTATAGTATGAGGCAGCTAGCCCATTTTCATTCTCATGCGTGAACAGGATCATATAAAGAAAATTCTCAGCACTAATACTAGAAATAAAATATAAACATTTAAAACATAACGTTAGAAAAAACAACGCAAGAGCGGTAAATAAGTTACAAAATATATTATAATTGTTTAAATATGCTGGCAAAATCGGTGCAAAAAATGAAGCATGAAATTGAAAAAAGAGCTCTTTGTCTTATGTGTCAAATAATGAAATATATACTGTACTTGTTGTTTTCTT